CTCTCTCTGGAATTTTATTACCTTTTGTCTTTTCATTAGTTTCCATAACACTCTGATGGCTCTTTAGAAGGGCTTTGAAAAAATCTGGTCTTTTTTCCCTAGTTGTTATCAAATAGGGAAATGGTTGGGACTTATCATCCAGGTCTATTTTCATCTTTCTTGGAATAGGAGTCATCCCTTCCCCCAAGAGGCAATTGGCGTGAAAGAAATGTCTTTTAGATCTTTTTTGATCATGTTTCAGTTAACCTTTCTTTGAAAAAAGATATTCTGATAGTTTTTCTCCCAGGTTTTAACCAGTTTGTATTTCATGAATTTTGTTGAATAATCTTGATATTTTATACTATAGAAAAGCAAGACACTTTTAAACATACTTTAATTCATGGTCCTTAACTTTTTGGATGATATATCCTTGTGCAGCCTTCTAAGAATTTCTAGCTAAATGAAAGACTCTCCAAATAAATGCATACAATATATCTTGCGTATATCCTCTGAGGGATTAAGGAATATTTTTCACCCTCCACCTCACCTACCCATGGACTTCAGGATGAGGGCCCTTGTATTAAGTGCATAAAATAAATATTGAGTTGAGTGTCCACATGGAGTTTAGGATGAGAAACCCCTTTTTAAGCATATAAACTGAATGCTGAATGAAATGGGAAAGTGTAGGTAAATCCCTAAGTATCTGGGCACTTGGTTTGTTCAGTACCATGAGGGGAGAAACATGTGCTGGGCCTGGCACAGGAGGTCTAGTTTGGATTTCTGGCTTTGCTGCTTACTGCACTTGCTATTTTCAGTGTCCTCCTTTATAAGTGAGGATCATAATAGTACATCTGAGTGTTATTGTGTGGGAATAACATGAGAAAATATGGAAGGAAGTACTTTATAAATTGTGTACAGAACACTTAGAAAATAATATATGTATGTCACAGACATATCTATGTATGTGTACTAATGTCTAAGAAATCATCTTTGCATGTCCATACTTTCTTCAAAGAAGCACCTCAGTCATTTGAAACACAGTCATTGAAATGCAAGACTGTGCTCACAGCACTTCCCTTGACCACATGCAGACAGTGTGCGTGGCCAACTGTGAGGAAGGGAGCCTGATGTGGAAGCCGAGGCAGAAATCAAGAACTGCAGTGTCATCCATCTGACTCTGGAGCCCTTAGCCAGTGAGAACTAGTACAACCACTACCTGCCCTTTATTTGCTTTCCTATGAAGTGGGATAATCATCTTTTAAAAAAGCTTTCCAAGAATTTTGCTCTACAGGGAAGGTTCTGCACAGTTGTTATTATGATAATGAAGACAAGTTTCAAATATTAAAAAAGCATCAAATTTGATAGCTCACTTTTAGTACTGTATATTAGAATAATGGCTTTTATGGCATGTGTTAGTGAAACTTTATTATTGTATTTGTTATATCAACTAACATTTACCTTATTATAGTTCTATCCCCAAATCATCCCACATAGGATAATTTGGAAAAGAGCAAAACATCATATAAAACATTGGCTATTACCATTAAAAAACATATTTTAGGTCTGGGGTAGAGCACCTGCCTAACCAGCACAAGGCCCCGAATTCAAATCCAGTACTGCCAAAAAAAAAGAGAGCATTTGTTAAGTTTCCATTTTTGCCAATTACTCTAAAAGCTAGAGTTCCTAAGCCTTTTTGAACCTTTGGATGCTTTTGAAGCATTATAGCCTTTGAAGGCCACAACCTTTCCTCAGAAAATGGATACACATGCACAGAAACAATTCTTCTAATAATTTTAAAAGGTGTTTAGACTACCTGAACTCCATTTATGAATTCTCTTCATGGCCCACATTAAGAAAAAAACCCTATCATAAAAAGCTCTACCACTTTGATTTATTGTCTAATTTGAAAGTACATTGTTTTTTTGCCCATCCATGCCGAATATTTTAGAAACTAAATAAGGTTGTTATTCAGCAAATAACCCTGTCATTAATGAAGTATAGCTCTATGCAGATGCATTACCTAGAGTGTGAGAAGGAAGAAAGGAAGCAAGGACATTAGTGCAGGAATGTCCAGCGGTGAAGCTCAGTCAGCCACTGTTTCCCCAAGTATTAGAGACAGAGATTAATAAATAAGTTCTTAGGACATGCAAATTAGTGTCCATGACCATTTCACTTAATTTTGTTTGTATTGAAGTGTATTTAGTAGGTATTCTAGTTTGCTCACCTTTTCCACTCTGCATTTGTTATTCATTTTTTCCATGTTACTTGACCTTCAATATACACATAGAGCACACAGGAGTATAGAAGGGTGTTTCCTATTTGAGTGTGAGCAGATAAAAATTGATGCACCTTACTCTTCAGAAAGATAACTGGTTCATAGGACAAAGTGAAAATTTTGACCTATCAAGGGCAAAGCTTAACGGTGAACTCAGAAGTGAAGTAGAAGAGGAAAGACTAGGATTCTTTAAGGTGACAATTCACTTGGCCAATAATGATGTGTGTGCCATTTAAAGATAGGCTTTTCTAAGTGTGGCAAAAAATCTCAGTAGCAATTAAAAAATATGAATTAAGTCAGTGAGGTACGGTTTACTATTTAATCCAACAAATAATATGAAAGATAGTTTTGACAAAGTTGGAACAAAAAAACCATACTGTTGATCAGTACATGTGACAATGAAAGTTAACAACATTTTTGCCTGCAAGGCAACAGAAAGAATGAAAAAAACATCGTGCTTTAGTATGGCATCAAGGTACATGAAATTTCCATATCTTTAATTGATATAATTTGGTTCAATAATGAAGACTTTTGGCTAATCTAACTGTACATCTTTATGCATTATTGAGTTAAACATTGATATGGGAGTTTAATTATTTGGTAGGAGGTATTTTTGCCCTAATGGTTAACTATTGCCCTCAAACCTTTTAGTGAGTAGACTGTTCTTTACCCACTGGTTTGAAATGTCCTCTTTATTACATAATTTCCTTGGATACATGTGCTTGGACTCTGGGGTCTGTCTCTGGGCGATTGTCACACTGTTTATATTACTCTGGTTTTAGTCTATGTTTTGCTTTGTGGTAGGGCACCTCTGACCCCTCTCCTCAAAGCTCAAACATTATTCTCTATGCTTTTGTTCTTCTGTATTTACTCTTCCAAATGAACTTTAGAATAAGCTTGTCTAGTTCCATTTGAAAATATTTGATTTGGGTTTTGGTTACATTTATAGATTAATTTAGAGAGCCAATTTTGCCTAGCATGCCTCATTATTTCCAAGAAATGTCAGTCAAATAGTTGCAAATTTCATACTTGGAACCTAGTGAGTTGATAGAAAGGTTGTAACACATCTCTGTTGCTTCTGTATAAAAAGCAGAGTGATTCTATATCAATGCAAACAAATTTACTTAGGACAGTTAATAGTTTTCAACTGCTCAAAGCAAAGAATGCAATTGAATCCAAATGGGAGAATGAAAGGTACGTTGGAGTTCTATAAATTAGAATTTATCTTTCCCGTATATGAAATAAGTGTCCATTTAAGATGAGAAGCAGATTTTCAGTGGCCATAGTGGCTCAAAAGACCCCAATTTGAGCCTAAAGCTGTCATCTGTTGTGATTACTTGCACTGTGCTTGTTGCTTAGTATATTTTATCAGAAGCTCAATTCCCCTGTGATCTCCTAAGTAGCTCATCTTGCTCTATCTCTTTGGAGCCTTATGTGCCTTTTTTTGTTCTGCAGTCTTCACATTTTCTTTCTTTGCTTCCTTTTCTTTCCACCTCCTTCTATCTCGTTTGTTGTCTCTGTTGGTTTCTGCATCATTATCCCTTTCCCTTCCTCTCCCATCTGTTGGACCATGTCTTTCTGGTGTCTTTGTAATTACCAAAGAAAAGACTCTTTTTAATTCTGAATATCATACTCAGTTGTAGAACTTCTGGGCAATTCTCCTAAATGAACCCATCTTACTTCTTTTTTAAAATTAGTTATTATAAATTTTTTATTAGGATATATTCATTATACAGGGAGGATTCGTGGTGACCATTCTGATTAGACTTATATTGTGCATTATTTACATTGCCCCCAGCGTCTCTCCCCCTCAGCCCCTCCCCACCCCACTTACAGCAATTGCAAGAGGTTTTCTAGTTCTGTTTCATACCGTCTCACTTCTAACAGGAGTGTTATCTTCTTTGCCAAGGTAAAGCTTGTATAGCTCTAGAAAAGAAAGGTGCTATAAATTATAAGACTGTGCTGTTGGGGGAGGTACTGGATTGGAAAGGGTTGCAGCGGACTCTTAAGATCCTCAGTGGTAGTCCTTGCTTGTCCAACTAAATGAAAGAGAAATATGACCATTGTTTGGAATAGATACAGATTAGATATCCTTGTGATCTGAGAAAATCTTTGATCTATTTATACAACCTGTTTTCTGCTTTAAAAAAACCAGGAACAGGTCAGGTCAGATTCTGTCTGTGGGTAATTAACAGTCCCTTTGGCATCCAGGAACACGACTAAAGCAAGTTGTCCTTCCTTTTTTAGGAAATGGAATTTCATCTGAGTTTCCTCTCTCAGTCATGTCAGACGTTTGTTATTATTTTTTTGTTTTGTTTTGTTTTTTTGCTTTGCTTTTCAGCTTTCCTTCCTGCATTTTTTCTGAAGCTATTGTATGGTAGATTTTTCTTGGCATGTTGCTTTCTATCAGTTACTTTTGTGTGTTCACATATGTTCATATGCAAAGGACAATTCAAAATTGTGTATCAATGATTTTTTTCAGAACTCCACAATTTGTGTGTATATGAATTCATAATTCCAGATAAATTCATATGTGTGTAATTGCAAACCATTTTGAAAATATAGTCTTTTTACTTAAGAACATAATGATGTGGCTCATGGAGAAGTCCTGTTCCGAGGTGATCTGTGCTCCTGTTTGGATAACTCTTAGCTTCCTAGGGTGCCATGCTGCTAAACGGAATGTCAGGCTGACACTCATCAAGGCAAGGGCAAACAGATGTCCAGGAGACCGGGTAGGCTTTGCCCCTCCCCCATCTCAGGGTGGGAGACTGGTTTGTTTTTGTTGAGCGTGCACACAGAAACCCAGCTGCTTCTCCACACTGGGCATACTCTGGAGGCCCTCCAAAGTGGGTGACCCTTTTCCATCCCTGGTTTCCACTTCCTTGCTACTCCAGCAGGCTGGGTGGAAGACATTCTGTCTCTGGAGGCCTCATTCTGCTCTTTTTTTGTGTTTTGCATAGAGAGAGTCAGGAATCCCTCAAAGCCTCTGGACTCCTGAGATGTTCTGGCAGGCTCATCCCTCACTGCAACAACCTTGGGTGTAGCTTGCTGACTTAGCCAGCTCCCCCCTCCCAAAGCCTCAGCAAAAATCGTACACTCAAGACCACTAGCCTGCTGCCCCAGTCTTTTGACACTTGTCCTCAAAGTGTGTCTCAGCGATCTGGTGTGGTAGCTCTTCTCAGGACTTTGCAGGGCTTTTTGCCAGCCTGAAGCTCTTAAGAGAAAGTGTGAGGGCAGGTGGAATGAGAAAGAAGGACTTGGAAATCCCTCAGAGAAGACAAAGCACAAATGGAACTGGTATAGGACGTGTGGGACATGGCATTGATTTTTTTGGCAATGTTTGCAAATATTTAAGGTTCTGCAACTTACAGTGATCCAGTAACTGGTAAGGCCAGAACTAAGAATAAGTATTGTGGACCTTTGTACTAATAGTAGTGTTTCAGGTGCAGGATAAAAATTAATACAAGCAATGATGTTTGACAAACAGGAATTCAAAGTAAAAGATAGTAGACTATAACACTTACTAATCTAGTGAATTAAGAAAAAATCTCTGTCCCCTGAATTTCTATAAAGGTAAAACAGAACTGCCCTGACTCCATTTGAAACATACCAGGAAACATCTTTCCTGGTGTCAGACATGTTGTTGAAAAGGATTCATGATATCTGAGCTCAATCACATGAAGTGACTATAGGAAGTGACAATGTTTTGGACCTATGCCCTTTCACTGTGGCTTCTTAGAGTCAGGACGAGGAAGTGTAATGACTTATTCATGTTTCAGGGGCAGACGACCATCTATGCAAAGTTTGGCAAAAATGTTTATCTTCCTGAAGATGCTGAGTTTTATTTTATTTATGATGGGTCTCATCAGAGGCACGTCGTGATTGCCCAGCGCGTCGAGGATAATGTTCTCCAATCCAGCATTCCAGGTGAGGTGGCCTCTTTGTTGTGCAGTTGGGAAATCTGTCTGGAAGCACCTAGGGATATAGGCCAGGGAGAGAACCAGGAGGAAAAAGAAAAAGCACTCCAAGTTTACATGTGGCGCGTCTATGTGTACACGTTGTACCCCACGAGCAAGATCTCTTTCAACTCCTTATCTCACACATAGAGTTCTTCTAGCTATGTCTGCAGCTCCATTTGGAGGCTTGACTCACTCTGGGAAAACCCATCCTGCTGACTGCACTCAGGTCTCCGGGGTTCAGTATACTTTAGGTGTAGTCAAATGGAGGAAACTCTGTGCCTCTAGTGTCACCACCTCAGTCCCAGGGCCTGTTGCCAGGGTTGGCTTGGGAAGAGCTGGCACAGACAGTTTGTATTTGCTCTCCTTCCTCATTCTCCTGTGGTCAGCCTGGCAGCCCCAAGTCCACCTTGCTTCTACCTTATTCCCTTTGATGACTAGGGATGTCTGTCCACCCAGAATCTTCCTTACTAGAACCCAGGCTCTAGCACTTTCTCTGTCCACCCCCAAAGTGTTCACATGTGAAAAGTTATTCTCTTCAAATATGGTGGTGACAAATGACAAGTTAATATAATGGTGATCTATTATTGTGAGCTCTTCTCAGGTACAGTTGTTTTGAATTTTCATTGAGTTATGGTTTGTGCATCTGAGAGACACCATGCTTTAACCTAAAAATGGAATTAAAGTACCATTGCCTGCAGGATAGTCAGGGTGGGTTTTTTGTGTGTTATTTGTTGATTGGTTGGTTTTTCTTAACCATGGGTCTTTCAGGTCCTCTTAAGTTGTATCATGTAGAGAATTTCAGCTTTTCTTATAGGTGATATTGGCCTCATTGTTAAGGAACAAGATTCCTAAGTGCTTTTATAGTGTATCTGCTGCATGTGGAAAAAAGGTAAACAGCAGACAGTGAGCCAGTAGATAACACAGTGGGAACTGTGTAGAAGTGAGGATGCTTTTAAGCTCTGCCTTGTCTTGGTCATTAAATTAATCTATTGTCCCATTTCCAAGATTATGGGAAATTTTAAGCACTTTTCTCTCTATCCTAATAACCCCCATTCATATAAGAAAGAAAGTCAAATTTATTAATGGCACATAGTTAATTTGGCTCCTGGTCCTTTTTCTTTCTGTCCTTTTGCTTTGGCATTTTCTGTTTTATTTAGCTTTAATAAAGACCAAAAGTAATAACTAAAGTGCCAGTTCTAATATCAGCCCTTTCTGTTTTGTCTTTTTTCTTTACTTCCATGGAGAGACTCTCCCTCCTCTATGTTAAGGAACATCTTCTGATGGGTTGTGGCACAAAGGGAAGGTTCTTACCTTCATTTTAACATGTTTCGTAGAGATGGCGACAGTCTCTATTTCTGAACTTTAAATTTCCCTGGTGGCAACTTTCCCCAGTAGACTTCTGTACTGAGATACAGAAAGTAGGCTTCTGTAGTGCATGCTGGGTTTATGTGACAGGCATGGGCACCTTCTGAGCCCCTCCTTTAGAAAAGTCTATGTGAGGATTGCAGTAGCTCTCTCTTAGTAAACTTGAGGTGCTCTGGATCCTTCAAGCTCTGACAGCATAGCCTTTGGGGAAGAGCTTTGGTGAGTAAGGCAGAACAAGAATGACTTGTACACATTAGCCATTTGCTTGGGGCAAGAGAGCTCCATGGGCCAGTGGTAGCTGTGTAAAGCATCTCCATCCAGCCATGGGTATCATAAGCACAGTGGTTGGTGCTACCAATTCCTGGAAATTCTGTCAAAGGCAGCAGAAAAACATTCTTGGGCAGAAGTTCTCAACTTGGCAAAAATGAGAGAGTGAGGCAAGGAAGAGGAGTATAGGAGAGACAGGGAGCAGGATTAGGTGACCAATCATGTCAGAAATATTGAGAACACCTATGAGAAGGTGGAGGTACTGAACAACATACATGTGTCTGTCTGTTTAGTATGTTCATGAAAATATGTATAAGCTGTGTATGTGTGCATAAGAATATATATTTCCTGTTTAGTAGTCTTTACCCATTCTAGTCCATGTTCAAAGGAGTTCTATGGATTTAGGATGAACTTGTATAATTTTGGGGGGCTGTCTTATAAAACTGTCACCAAAATAAACAGGTTAAAATATATGATTTAGAAGGGAATTGCAGAGCAGCAAAGAGCAAAAGCCTTTAAAATGACAGACTGGAAATCAGAGGTAGGTGAGGAGTAAAAGGTGAAGGTATGGCAACAGTTTGGTGACGAGAAGTGATTAAACAGATACCAAAGTGTTCCCAGATCCAGAGCTCATAAAGGATGTTTTTAACCTCAGTTGGCCCACAGGCATGGCACCATTAGAATGGTGGGCTTCCTATCTGCTGGTCCTCTGGGAGACTGTGTTCCATCCAGGCAGTTCTGTGGGCTAGTAGGGGAGCCACCATGCAAGTGCCTCCTGCAAACTTGGACTGAACTGTTCACTCTCTTGTCATCCAGGCCACCAACTTCAGGAAACTGTGACAGTGTCTGTGTGCCTCTGCTCAGAAGGTTACTCGCCAGTGACCATGGGTTCTGGCTCAGTGACCTATATGGACAACCTGGCCTGCAGGCTGGCCCGCTTGCTGGTTACCCAGGCTGACCGCCTCACAGCTTGTAGCCACCAGACCCTGCTGACCCCGTTTGCCCTGCCACCGGGAGCACTGCTTGCCTTGGATGAGGAACTCGTGCTAGCTCTGAGCCAACTGGAGCTGCCTCTAGGTTGGACGGTCCTGGGAAATTCTTCACTTGAAGGTGGGTCTGCACCAGAAAACTCAGACCTGTACTCTCTGGGTCACGTTCAGATTGTGCTGTACAGTTTGTCTGCTTCTCTGGCTGGGTGTTCCTGCCCACCTTTTATCTAAGTCTTGTTCTGATGTGGTTGTCTTCCATGAAGTCCTCAGCTGCTCATCTCTGGGCTGACTGAGCAGCTTTGGGCCACGGCTCTACTTCTCTTGGCAAGATATCCTGCTGTGAGAAGGAGACATTGCTGCCCTGTTTCCAAAGGAAACCAATGAGTTGGCATCTTTAAAAATGTCAGTGTCACCAAGAACATTTGTATTTTTTTTTGTCTTTTCTTCTTTTCTTTTTTTTTGGAGGCGGGGGTGGGTGGGTACTGGGGCCGAACCCAGGGCCTCATGCATGCTAGGCAAATGCTGTACCACTGAGTTAAATCTCAGCCCAAGCATTTGTAGTATGTTTGTACTTAAAGCTTTTTTTTTTTAAATGTCACATGGTTGTGTATATTTAAGGGAGAGTAGTATGATAATTCCATGTGTATAATATATATTGATCAAATCAGTGTAATTAGCATTTCCTTAGACACTTACAATTTCTCTGTATTGTATTTGTACTAACTTCTGGAGTTCCTAGAAGCAGAATGAATTCTTAATACCATCTCCTTCGAACGTGCTTGTGAACAGAGCTGTAGATATTATACCTAGGCCCATACTAGAAATGAGACTGAACTGTTCAACAGGTGCTTCTGGTGGTAATTATTACTTATATAATTTTAACAAAAATACAGATTTATTTTGGTTAAATACAATATACATAGTTGCTGTTTTTCTGTAAAGCTTTGTGGCTGGATAATGCCACTTTTACGAGTTTTCACTTCCTAATAAATTCTGGTTTCTGCCTTAAAGTGGGCTTTAATTTGACCATAGGTGACATTAAATGAACTCTTGTAGTAAGAGGGAACAATTTCTGTAAACAGAACTATAAGGCTATAAGCCACAATCAGAGAGGATATCTACTTTGTTCCTTTAGTCAGAGTTATACTAAAACTCCCCTGAACACTTGAGAATGTTTCTTACTTTGTAAGTCCTTGGATAAGAGAAGTAACTCGTGTTGTTCAGCACTGAGCCATGCCTGAATCCTGTGTGCTGGCTGAATGTTACATATAAACAGGTGACTCCTCCTGAGGTGTGGGTTGTATCTGTTCTGCTGATCATTATCCCCAAGGACATAGTCAATGGATACGAGATGAATGGGAGAGTTCAATAGTGGTACTTGAAGGTCTCAGGATACACTCGTTGTATCTTATGTACATATCATGATATATATGTTACAAGATTAATAATATAAGTGTTAGATATTGATATATATGATTGTGTGTACACATGTCAATATGCATAACACATCTTATATAGCAATATACATGATACATCTATATAATGTTTCCTGGCTAAGAAACTTTGTTTTCTTGAGCCTCTTGGATTTTCAGAAACATTTGTAACTCTAGCACTGGGAAGTATTTTATTTATTGGAAATCACAACCATTTCGACCAGGACACCAGGCCTTCATGATTCCTCACCAGTCACTGTTGAAGAACATCAAAGCTGGGTGGAGGGGCGGAGTAGGCCACTCACAGGGCTCACTCTGCCCCTAGTTGGAACTGTCAGTGCACAATCACACTTTGCTGAAGGTCAAGGAGCTGCATGTGGGTAACTTAAACCCAGGGCCTCCATAATAGAATTCCCATAATCCACATGCTGTGTTTCTTTCTCATACCAGAATTTAGAAATTAAGATTTGCTAATATTAATGTGTGAACTGATGATAGTACATGCATGCAGTTTTCTGTGTTGCGTGGCGGCTGTGTATTTCTGATAGAAATGCATAAGCAAGTAAGTTTGGAGAGCACTGAGTCATCAAAGCTTGTCTTGTTGGTATTTTCATGGCTGTTCAGAGACCAAGTTTCTATCATAACCTCTGATCTATCCATATCCTTACCTAGGCAAATTTATGTCACCAAGAGGTCATTTCTGACCCCTCTGCCAATATTTATATAAGACAGATATATTTTCATGGGAGAAAAACTGAAGTGGTTCCTTTTCATGATGAGATATTGCGTTGTATAGAAAAACAACTTCTGATGTAGTTGTTAGGAAAATGTGCTCTGGAGCCAGGTTCAAATCCAGACCTTGTAGCTTCCAGGCTCCAGACCTTACTTCAGTTCTGGTGCCAAGTTTTAATTTTTAAAATGAAGTGTAGCAGTGCCTACCTCATTGGCTCGTTATCAGTTAGCTAATACACGGTGAAGCTTTTAGAACAGTATCTGAACTTACTAAGTTCTCAGTAAAAATGAGAACTTGTGCTTTTTGTGAATGGATTTCCATGTAGGGAAAGTGCATTTTGTATATTTGTATGGGAAGCAGATTGCAGTTGGTGTGGACAAATGAAATAGGCAAAGGTGAAATTCTGGAACTATAACTAATTCCTTAAATATTGCTAGGAACTTTTCTAGACTTTCTCTAAAAAATAGTTTATAATACTGGATGTTACATTTCCTGTAGCCTAACTTTACAAATAGCTTCTGTACAACATCAGCAAACAGGACAAGGTTCACATCCATGTTTTAAGCTAAATTTCACCCTAAGGTTTATGACACTCTCCGTTCACCTTGTGTTTGACTTTCTGTATCCACCTTTCCATTCCTCAGTACTGTTGTATATGTATACCACATATGGATAATGGCTGATTTTACAGTGATAAGTCTTTACAGATATAGTTGTTAGGATCTTTTTGTCAGAATTATTCCAGTTCTTAAAGGAAAAAATTGGAAATTTAAATAAATGGATTCAAATATAAATTCTTCTATAGTAGTTTTGACTTTAGAAATTGTATTATTTCAGTGAGTGGGGGGGGACTTAGTGGGTTTTTTTTGCACTGACTAAACCAAGTCACTGAGCATGAAGTAATGATTTTACAGTTGGGAATGAGTGAGAACATTTGGTAAAGGACTTACATGCTGTCCTAAGTCAACTGGGATTATGTTAGACTCTTAACACACATGCAGTCATTAGTGTGTATATTTTGACTCATTGTTATTCAAAGCTATTTGATGAGGTACTGCTAATTTTGAATGATTATGGATTTGTTCTTTGTTTTACTCAACTCTTAATTTAGTAGAGTAATCTAAGCTTAGAATTTCTTCCATGCTAAGACATCTTTTTCTAGCATACGTATGTATTAATAAGTTTTTTCTGTCTTCAAGGTAGATAAATTAGAATAACGAAGGGAAAAATAAACTGAGGGATTGAGACTGCTGGAATATATTTATATTGCGTTAGTGGTAGCAGCAACATAAGAGGGAAACAGTTTCTTTCCTAGTAATTACTTCTTTTAAAAAATTACCTTAAATTTATTAAAAATTTTTTTTGAGGCAGGGTGTCACTCTGTAGTCCAGCCTGGCCTTGAACTCTTGATCCTCTTGCCTCAGCCTCTTGTGTGCTGGGATTACAGTCCTGCAACTGTTTTTAATTTATTTTTAACTGGTGTATAGAAACATAAAAATTGTATCTCTTAATGGAATAGCATGTAATGTTTCAATGTGTGTATGCACTGCATAATGTTTAAATCAGGTTAAGCATTTATTTCCTCCAATAGTTACCATTTCTTTATGAAAGTGAAAACCTTCAAAATCCTTTCTTGTAGACTTTTGAAATGTACAGTACACTATTATCTGTAGTCACACTAATGTGCAATAGCACACCAGAATTTCTTGTTCCTATCCAGCCACAACTTACACTTACTGATCAACCTTTCCACCTTCCTCGTTCCCTGGCCCCTAGTAGTCACCATTCTCTGTTTCTATGATATCAATTTTAGGCTCATATATAAGTGAGATCATACAGCATTTGTCTTTCTGTGCCTGGCTTATTTCACTTAGTGTAATGATTTCTAGTTGAAGCGAGCTTTTTCTTGCTCCTGTTACTACTGAACCTAACCAGGGCTAACTGGGGGCGATGGGAGATGCAAAAGCAGAAACACACATACAACAAGTTTGTAAAGGACACAGGATAGAGAGACAGACATTCAGAAAGTTGGATCAGGTGTGCTGGGCGTGTGGATAGAGACACATTGCAGCCTCATTGCTTCTTTTCTCTAATATTCTCTTCATTTACTTTGCTTCTTTTCTCTATCTTTATTCTTTAAGGCCTTACTCCTTTACAGTTCTTTAAAACCTTGCTTCTAAAGTCTTTCTTCTTTCTGTTCTTTAAAATTTCACTTCTAAAGTCTTTTCTGTTCTTTAAAGTCTCTTTGCTTACACTCGCTCTATCCCATGTTTTATCTTAGATTTTCTTTAGCACAATCTCTCTTAAAGTCTTTGCCTTCAGACTTGCACTGTCCCATCAGACTTGCACTATCCCATGTTCTCTCTTCAGCTTTCTTAAAGTCTCAGCCCTCGGACTTGCAGACAATCAACAGTGGCTGTTCTCTTGCAAGCTGCCAACCAATTTTTATTAACCCCTTTTTAGCAATTCCCCTTTAGCAATTCACCTTCAGCAATTCTTTTCCCTTCAGCAATCCTCCCTTCAGCCAAGCCCCCTATTTTTTTTTAATTTTTATTTTTTTATTATTCATATGTGCATACAATGCTTGGGTCATATCTCCCCCCTGCCCCCACCCCCTCCCTTACCATGCACCCCGCCCCCTCCTCTCCTCCCCACCCCCTCGCTACCTGGCAGAAACTATTTTGCCCTTATCTCTAATTTTGTTGAAGAGAGAGTATAAGCCATAATAGGAAGGAACAAGTGTTTTTGCTAGTTGAGATAAGGATAGCTATACAGGGAGTTGACTCACATTAATTTCCTGTGCGTGTGTGTTACCTTCTAGGTTAATTCTTTTTGATCTCACCTTTTCTCTAGTTCCTGGTCCCCTTCTCCTATTGGCCTCAGTTGCTTTTAAGGTATCTGCTTTAGTTTCTCTGCGTTAAGGGCAACAAATGCTAGCTAATTTTTTTAGGTCTC